GAGCGCACCTGTGTCGTTCAATGCTGCCGGAGGTCAGAAGAGGGTTTCAGATTCCCCTGGAACTGGAGTTAAGGACAGTCCGTAGCGGCCATGTGGGTGCTAGGAATTGAACCTGGGTCCTCTGCAAGAGCAATCAGTGCTCTTACCTGCTGAGCCATCCTTCCAGCCCTTTTTAAGATTTTAAAAAATATTTTTATTTATGTGTATGTGGGGCTGTGTCTATATATGCCACATGTGTGGGAGTGTCCACAGAGACCAGAAGGGGAAGTCAGATCTGGAGCTGGAGTTACAAGCAGTTCTGAGCTGCCTTTTTGATATGGTAGCTGGGAACTGAACTCAAGTCCTCTGGAAGAACAGCAAATGCTCTTAACTGTTGAGCCATCTCTCCAGTTCTGTGTTTGTTTTCTGATGTATGATTTTTATCAAATTAAGAAAGTTACCTTTTATTTGCTAAGAGTTTTTATTATGAATAGCATTAAACATTATAAAATGTCTTTTTGCATTAGGATAAGTACATTTTCCCCTTTAATCTAGTAATGTGGTAAATTAGAGTGATGAAATTTTCTAGTAACAATATCTTGTATCTCTTGAATAAACACTGCTTAATTATGTTGTATCGTTTTTTAGTAATGGCATTAGTTTTTTTTTTTCAGACAAAAATGATTTATTTGTGAAGTATCAAATTAAGCTAGTTGATACAAACTCAAAAGGATGAAAACTAATAGTTTTCTATGTGGCTCCTACCTTAATATATATGTGTATTTACATTGTTGTGAATGTAGGTAGGCATAAAGCATTAGAAATGAGACCAAGAAATGGTAAACAGTGGTGCTGAGGAAGTCAGGGGAGGGCAAGGACCAATATGACATGAAGCAGAAAAGAGCTTGGGAAGGAAGGATACATGATGGGGAGGCTGGTGAATGGGGGAGTGACAAGAGACTCTAACAATGAAACAGGGAGAAAGAGGGTCCCCTAGAGGGTTCTTAGTCTCATTCATAAAAGAATTTAAGAATGGACCCAAAAAAAAGTTTTATAATTTTATTAGAATCTTAAAGAAAAATCCTCAGGGCAGGCGAGCTGGTAATCTTGGCAGCTGCCTTGAGGAGGTGAGGCATTCACAGTTTTCATGTCTACTGGTCTCTGTGTTACTGAGGATCCAATGCAGGGTAGGGTCTCACGCATGCTAGGTAAATGCTGTTCCACTGAGATACACTGCTACCTTAGACTCCATTTTTATTATTTTGTTTTGGTTTTTGAGTCAGGGTCTTATGTAGCTCAGGCTGACCTCATTTACTGTAGCTAAGACTTGCCTTGGACTCCCGAGCCTCCTGCCTCTACCTCCTGAGCACTGTGATTACAGGTGTGCACCACCAAACCCTGCTACTCTCTACTTTTAAAAATATACTCTCTAGAATTTTAGAATGGATAGCTAAGAGGTTATCCCTGCTACAGTCTATTTTAAAAAATATACTCTTTAGAATTTTAGAATGGATAGGTAAGAGGAGTTATTCACGTCTTCAACCTGCTCCACATTGCAAGGACCAATTTCTGTGTTGCTTAATATTTCTGTTCATGTTCATCTCTAATTCTACAAATTAAACATTATATATTTACAATCTGTTAGAAATTCCTGGTGTTTCAATCCATCTCTTTGCTTCCTAAGAGCAAATACATGGCACTTCCCATGTTACCAGCCACTCTGAGCACAGAACAACGAGTTAAACATATCCTAATACCCCAAAAGCTCAGTGAGATCTGAACTGTGTTTCTTCTGTCTAAAGAACATTATTTAGCATTTCTGTCTCCATTTGTTTTGTTTTGATTTATTTGGTCTTTTTTTGAGACGGTCTCCCTGTAGCCCCAAATGGCCTGGAACTCACTATGTAGACCTGGCTGGCCTTGAACTTGCAGAGATCCACCTGCCTCTGCCTCCCAAGTGCTAGGATCGAAGGCCTGTGCCACTATGCCTGGCTATCTCCATTTGTTTTTAATCTGCTCTTTTGTACTCTGAGAGAGGAGGAGTGAAAGTCAGAATCCTGGGGAGTATATTGCTCTCATGAGTCTTCCCAAGGTCACAGGTGAGAGAGAGCCAAGCAGTCGAGGTCACTCTGGAGGTCCCTTCTGACCGAAATGCCAGCTCTTCTCCTGGCAGGCACATGCTACAGTACTGCTACACTTCATTTTCTGTATCCCCAATCCCAGCTCCGGGAGGACAATGGCTTTACCCACAAAAGGCTAAATGCTAACCCACCTTTCTGCCTCTCTTAGAGGCAGGAAGGGGAAGGGTGCTGCTGAGGCCAATGACTTGCAAATCACAGCTCTAGAGCCTGGTTACTATGGGTCAGTCCACCAGGCTGGCCTTGATCTCAGAGATCTGCCTGCCTCTGCCTCCTGAGTACTGGAACTAAAGGCGTTCACCATCACCCCTGGTTCTTTTTAGTCACTCAGAACTGTGTTTTCTCTCTTAGAATTAAGAACCATCTTCAGCTGGATGTGGTGACACACACCTTTAACCCCAGCACTCGGGAGACAGAGGCAGGCAGATCTCTTTGAGAGATCAAGACCAGCCTGTTCTACATAGCAAGTTACAGGCCACGTAGGGCTATAGGGAAACCCTGTCTCAAAAGGGGAAAAAAAAAACCCACAAAAGAACCATCTTCAAAAAACAACACATAAGACCAATTTCAAATGGACTTTATTATTATTTTTTTTTGCTGCCCAAATACTGTACATGCAGAAGCTGTGTGAAGAATTTTCTCCTCAAGGGACTTGGCAAGAATGTCGTATGAAAGAGCCAGCAATTGTCCCCCCACCCCCCAGCTGTCCACCTGCCACCCAGGAACCACGTTTGGAAAGATGCTGCACATAGAAAATGCAAAGAGCACAGATATAAAAGGCTAATTGCTTCTTGTCTAAACAGTGTGCTTGTCAGTCCCTAACAGCTCGCTCGCGCTCTCTTTGCAAGATGCATTTGGAAATTCTAAAAAAGGGGTTCCTGCCTTCTGTGAGTTTACACGCTAAAGGAGTTGCTAGAACTCTCAGGCCCGCTTTCCCTGAGGAAGCAGCCACTCTGCCTTCTGAGATAATGTCTGGGAAAAGATATTTTGGAGGGAGAAGTGGTTTTAAAAAATAAAATACTTGCAAGGGAAATGAGTTCCCTCTCTCTTCCCATCAGGGAGAAGTCCTTAAAAAGGTTCAGCTTCTGCTCTTCCCAGGGCAGCCATATGCAAGCACAGTGAGGAAGGGTACAGCCTCATCTGCTACTGGGGACATAGACCTACCTACTCAGGACACAGCTGAGGCTGTGACATCATGTCAGCACCTTGGAAACTGTCCACAGTAGACGACCCCTAGTTATTTCCCATCCTGATACAGAAAGCGGGGGAGCAACCCACAAAGTGAATCAGAGTCCGTTAAGATTCCCAGAGTTCTTGGCAGAGGCAGCAGCTAGGCATGGAGCCAATGAGGACCTGCCTTCAGCCTGGGAACCAAGGGCTAGGGAACAAGGTGCCAGGGCACCTGGCTCGCCTCTCTCTGCAGCTCCAAATCAGAGACTTGCGAAACCCAGAGGGAACTATGGAGCAACCAGTTAATGCTTTGATTTTACAGATGAGGAAGCCGAGGCCCAGTGAGGAGTCTCACACAAGGTCACAGTTTCTGGCAAAAAAAAAAAAAAAAAGAAGAAGAAAAAGGTACAGAACAGCCATCCCTGTCCAGGTCATTGGCTAATGGGGCAGATGCTCAGTTGCCCCTGGAATTTCCAGACCCAGGGACCCTTCCTGGCATCAGTGTGGACTTCCTGGAAGGCCAGAGGTCCTATCTCTACCGGCAAGTGTCCAGCCAGAGCCCTGACAGGTTTCTACAAAGCCCCAACACTCATGCTTTTCAATGAGCACCTGCCTGAGCCAGACTAGGCCCCAGGGAGGCGGCAAGGTCCTCTTGCCTGTGTGGCTTCCCTCACAGGCACTACCATGCTGGGCCCACAGAAGCCCACATTTAGGGTTAGGGGAAGGGAGAGTTGCTTTGCTACATGGAAAGATTAAGCCCTTTGTCAGAGAACAAGGACCCTCTCTCGGGCATGCCAACATTTGAGCTGTGTTCATGCAGCTCCACCAGCAGAGCTAGTGCCCGAGGAGGCCAAGTCGCTCTCTTTGGCATCACTGACATTGCTCTGAGATGCTCAGGCACTCTCAAAATAACCCTTTCCCAGCCAGGCCAGGCTGATCCCGCCACCATCAGGCCACACCTGATTTGTACGGGGCTCCCCTGCTCTTCAATGGTGGCTGATCTTCCCAGTTTCTTCTGCCCTGGGTGAGTAGACTGGAGGGAGAAGGCAGGGGACCAGTCTACATTTCCATCTCCTCTGATCATCCAGTGAAAGACAATGCAGGAGAAGGAGCAGATTGGCAAGAATGTCTGTACGTGTCAGGACACTGGAGACGACAAGGTGTGAGGAATGGAAGTAAAAGGGAGGAGGAGGCAGGGAAGCGGGCCTCTTCTTGTCCACCTCCCTGCAGCCACTGCACAAATGCTGCCGGACAACCTTCAGGCCCTTGTGAAGTACCACGTCTCCCCACCCAGTGGAGAGCAGCAACAGCAGGTCAAGGCAGCGATTTCTTGCAGGGTTTGCACAGTGCTGGATGCAACCAGAGGACACAGAAGAGCAGCCTTGCTAAGGGGCCACTGCCTTCTAGGTGCAGGGTGACAGGGAACGTGAGGTATCAGGAGCTCTGGAGCCCCAGGGGAAGGGGAGCATAGCCTCTCCTGGGCAGCAGGGCCTGGAGTGAGGCCCCTGGATGTGCCAGGGCTCCTGGGAACACAGTTGAAGATTGTGCTACATTTCATTTCTAAAGAAAAGCCCTGGGTAGGCTCAATTGTCTTTAAAAATGGAGGCTGCTGTCCTCCAGGCTGGCAGTAAAGAAGAGCTCAGGCATGCTGCCCTGGTGGGG